CCCCCTTCCCTCCCCTCTCCCCTTTCTCTCCCCCCTCCCTTTCGGTGGGGGGGGGCGTGTCTCAGCACATAGACCAGACCAGGACAGCCTTCTGTTTACAGAGATCCTCCTGCTTAGTGCTGAGATGAAAGTTGTACACCCGGCTCAACTCAAGTTTTATTATTGTGTTTTCTTTCATGTTTTATACTGTATTTTTTAATTAGTCAAGGTCTGACCAAGCTGGCAGCAATCCTTCTGCTGCCTGGAACTCCATCTGTAGACCAGGCTGGCATCAACACAGAGATCTGCCTGTCTCTACCTTCCGAGTGTTGGGATTAAAAGTGTGCACCGCTACTGCCCGGCAGGACTTTTTGTTAAATATTGGAGCAAGGAACATGTACCCTGGTACATATGTGAATGCAAAAGGACAGTTTGCAGGAATGAGTTCTTTCATAACCCTCTGGTCCAGGGACTGAACTTAGATGGTCAGAGTTGGTGGTAAGCCCTTTCCTTGGTACCCATGTCATTGGCCCAGCACGTAGTGCTCTTGCTGTGCCGGGAGCCCTGGCTTTGGCCCTGGCCTGCTGGGCCTCATCTCCTTCACACGTAGTTTCATGATATCATAAAGTCCTTTCTCTTGGATAATTTATTTTTGATTTTTTTTTCTGAGACAGGGTTTCTCTGTGTAACAGCCCTCACTGTCGTGGAATTCACTCTGTAGACCAGGCTGGTCTTGAACTCATAGAGATGACCTGCCTCTGCCTCCCAAGTGCTGGGATCAAAGGTTTATGCTACCACCACCTGGTTTATGGGAAAGTCTCACTATGTACACAGCCCAGGCTGGCCTTAGGTTTGTGGTGACACTCCTACCTCGGCCTCTCAGTAGCCAATAGTGGGTTCCAGGGGTGCTACCACAGTCAGTGTGAAGGCAGCTAGAGCTGATGAAGTCTAGGAAAATGGCTTGAGCAGCTTTCACACTTGGTATTTATCTCTTTGGAACGGGTCTTTCACACCTAACGACAGAGTGCAGAATTCAGGGTTAGTGCTCTGCCATACAGACACAGCAACTAGAATCAGGACTCTTTCTAAACAACAAACAGAGGAAGCACACTGCTTGGGGCTAGAAATAAAGAGACAGACTGAGAAGGCAAGGACCAAGAAAAAAGAAAGGGGCTGAAGGGATGGCGCAGAAATTAAGAGCACTGACTGCTCTTGCAGAGGACCAGGGTTTAATTTCCAGTGCCGTGTGGCTGCTCACAACCTCTAACTCCAGGCCTGGTGGTGGTGGCGCACGCCTTTAATCCCAGCACTTGGGAAGCAGAGGCAGGCAGATCTCTGTGAGTTCGAGGCCAGCCTGGTCTACAAGAGCGAGTTCCAGGACAGGCTTCAAAAGCCACAGAGAAACCCTGTCTCGGAAAAACAAACAAACAAACAAACAAAAACCAACCTCTAACTCCAGTTGGCAAGGTTCTGACCTCCACAGACACAAGGTACATATATGGTTCATAAATGCAGGCAAAACAAATACATACAATAATAAAAGTATTGAAAACAAAGACAAAAAGCAGGTTACTTGAGAAAGCTAAATTTTCAGGCATCCCGTGCCTCATGGAACTCCTGTGGTACTTGAACTGCAGAAGTATCCAAAAGATAGCTACAGAGCTGCAGGCCTTCACTGCCAGTGCCTACAGGCTGGGGCAGGAGGATGGCCACGAAATCAGGGCCAGCCCTCTACCCTATAGTGTAAGAAATTATTTGCATTTTCAGTGTCAGATGAGCTTAGAGACTGTCAGAGTCATGGAGAGCCCGAGGCGCTAGGACTAGGACCCTCTTGCCCCAAGCTGGCAGCTTCCGTCTGAGCTTTCTAGATTCAGGATGGTTGAAAAGTTGTAAGCACTGTGCTGTGTAACACATGTCTGCCATCAGAAAAGGGATAGTCAGGTTCAAGCTGCAGACGATTCATTTGATAAGGCTTTGAGTCCCCTGAATAGAATGGGGATATAAAGGGGATAATGCTAAAAGTATACAAAGACTGTTAACTCTCTGAGTATCTGGCTGTAGAAAAAAGGAGAGGCTTCTTATGTTCTTATGATCAGGACTTTGAAAACTACTACTTTTGCCAGGCTGTGGTGGCACACACCTTTAATCTCAGCACTCAGGAGGCAAAAGCAAACAGATCTTTTCGTTCCAGGCCAGCCTGGTCTACATAGTGAGTTCCAGGACAGCCAGGGCTATCAAGAGAAAACCCTGTCTCACAAAACAAACAAAACAACAAATAAACAAAACTAAATCAGAATTGCTTCTCTTTTACTAGCTTGTCTTTTTATTACAGAGTGGGGTTTGTTTCTCACAATAGTGTGCACCAGGGAAGCCTGTGCTAGAGATGTCTCAAAAACTTGAAAGTCACACATGGGGGGCATACATCTGTCATATCAGGAAGTAGAAGCAGGAGAAGCAGAAGTTTAACGGTGACCTTATGAAAAGTTGGAAACCAGTCTGGGCTGCATGTCACCTTGTCTTTGAAACAAAAAAAAAAAAAAGACAAACAAAAAATTAGGTGCTGGAAGTTGACTCAGTGGTTAAGAGCGCTTGTTCTTGCAGAGAACATGGTTTGATTCCTAGCACCCATAAGGAGACTCCCAATCATTCAGTTCCAGGGAAACCGACTCCCTCTTCAGGACTTCACAGACACCACTCATGCACCTGGGGCTAAAAGCAAAAGTGGGGCGAATAAGCTCAAAATATTTTATATACACGTGCGAAATTTTAAAAGGATTAATAAAACTTAATAAAAATTAACTCCCCACATGCAGAAGGCTTAGGAAATTAAGTTCCGAACACTGCGCGTGCACATAAATCATCCTGTGATTGGTTACTCTTTTGACGTTCTGGTAAGCGCCTCTTACCGAGTGGTCCCACCCCTTCCTGCTGCGGGGTCACGCACTCTCGTCGGCGCCTTGACGGAAGGCGCGGAGGACGTTGCGTAGTGACGTAACGCGGCGCCCATCCCGGAAGCGCGAGCCAGGCCGCCAGATGTGCAGGTGCCGAGGCCGGCGACGCCGGGGCGGGCTAGGGCGGGATTGCGGGGCGGCGGGAGACCGCGGGCTGTGCCGCAGCGGCAAAGGACGGCCACTTTGACTCTGCGGCCGAGCCGGTCTCAGTTTCCTTGACTGCGCAGCGGCGGCACGGGCGGATCCGGATGGGAACCAGGCTGTGTGACCGTGCGCAGCCCGGGTCCTGAGCGGCTCCTCACGTCCGCGCGTGCCTCAGTTGCCCCTCTTGAAGGGGCGGGGCTTCAATGCATGTTTGAGTGTGACCTTATCCGGTTTGGTTTTTTGTTTTTGTTTTTTCCTCCCTCCGAGTTTGGTTTGCCGAGTCGAGTCCGGTTAGGACTAGGGCGCGAGGGCGCCTTGTGCTCCTTGTTTGTGACCTTGAAGCGCAGAGCCCTTGCTGTCAGCAGCCTTGCATTCCTGGGGGAGATTTAATGTTTTGAGATAATAGTTCAAATTAGCCTCCAATTCCTGGTAATCCTGTTTCAGCCACCCAAGTGTTAGGGGAAGTCATTAGTTTTTTTTAAGATAGTAACCCAGATTGGCCTTCAGCCCGTTAAAGTGCGCCTCTCGAGAGTGCTGGGACTTACATTGACTTGCCACGCCTGGCTGTGTTGTCTTGCTTTAGGTCAGGGACTCATTTGTCCCATGCTGGCCTGGAACTCAAAAAGCAACCTTGATCTTTTGCCTTCCTTACCGCCAAACACAGGTCTTTCCACACCTGTCTTATTTTTTTTAATAACCTTGTCTTTTTTAAAAAAAAAAAAAATTATTTATCATGTTCAGCCTCCGTGTATGTCTACAAGCCAGAAGAGGGCACCAGATCTCAGTACAGAAGGTTGTGAGCCACCATGTGGTTGCTGGGAATTGAACTCAGGACCTCCGGAAGAGCAGTCCGTGCTCTTAACCTCTGAGCCATGTCTCCAGCCCCACCTGTTTTATTTTTTGAGGCAGTCTTAAGTATCCCAAGATGGTGTGGAGCTCACTGTGTAGCCCAGATTAGCCTTGAATTTACAACAATCCTTTAGCCACTTGAGTGCTAGGGTGACAAACATGAGCTGTCACGCCAGGCCTGTGGTTTTGGGTTTTTTAAGTTATTATGTATGCAGTGTTCTGCCTGTATGTCTGTCTATAGGCCAGAAAAGGGCACCCCATCTCAATTCAGTTGGTTGTGAGCTACCATATGGTTGCTGGAAGTTGAACTCGGGACCTCCAGAAGAGCAGCCAGTGCTCTTAATGCTGAGCCATCTCTCCAGCTCCAGGCCTGTGTTTTAAGATAGGGTTTTGTACATCTCTAGGGTGACCTAGATCTCAATATGTATAGCCAAAGCTGGCCCTCTGTGTGCTACCATTTCAGCTCCAGCCCAAGACTAATAATTTAAAACAAAATCTCGAATCAAAATTCTGCATCTGAGAGATGCCATTAACTTGTCTGACTCCACCCTTTAACCACAAGTCTTTTTCTTCTTTTTTGGAAATATGTACACGTGCCAGGCAGTGGTGGTGCACGCCTTTAATCCCAGCACTGGCAAGGCAGAGGCAGGCGGATCTCTGACAGGTCAAGGTCAGCCTGGTCTACAAGAGCTAGTTCCAGGACAAGCTTCAAAACCACAGAGAAACCCTGTCTTGAAAAACAAAAAAACAATACGTGTACATGTATGTATATATAATATGTATGTATATATGTGTAATATATATATATATCCTGTTTATGGGGAGGGGCATGCACCTTCATGCCTGGAAGTCAGGAGACAACTTGCAGGAGTTGGGTTTTCTACCATGTGTCCCAGGACTTGAACTGGAACCCTCTGGCTTGATGGCAAGCACCTTTTAGTCACTGAGCCATGTCACAGGCCATGTTCCACTAGAAACAGGGTCTTCTTGATTGCCCAGTGTGCTTGGGAAGATCTATGAAGTCCTGGTTGGTGTTGAAGGTTGTTGAATCCTGCCTTTACTCTTCTCACCGCGTGTTGGGGTCTACCACCATCTATCTGTCGTAGTCCACCTTGGGTGAATAGCAGAGGCCCATAGCTAGTTTCTTCTTTTTCTTTTTTCCCTGAAATCAGGTTTCTCTGTGTAGCCCTGGCTGTCCTGGAACTCTGTAGTCCAGGCTGTCCTCAAACTCAGAGATCTCCCTGCCTCTGCTACTGTGCCTGGCTTAAATCTGTATATTTTGTTTCTGGTGGAGGTCAGAGAACACCGTTAGGCACCACACTGCTTGCCTTCTATTGTATTTGAGACAGCATCTCTTATTCACCTTTCTGTGTGCCAGGCTAACTGGCCTTGGGGCTTCAAGCTGCTTTGTCTCTGCCTCCTGTCTCCCCACAGTTGCAGATGGATGCCCGGCAGTGTCTGGCGACCTCACGGCAAGTCATCAGCTCCCCTGCAAAGTACTTTACATACCCTAATCTCCTCCCCACCATTCCTGCTCCCCCTGCAGCTGTCTGCCACTGCTTGGCTGCCTCCCATCATTGTTTGAGACAGCGTCTCCAAACTGACCCACTCATCTACAGCCCCTTGTGACTCGTCCATGTAGCTGGGATGGGGCTTGACCTCTTCAGCTCCCGTGTGTGAATTTTGCCTAGTGCTGTGTTGGCCTCTCTCAACGAGGTCTTGTGAGGATTTTCTAGGCTTTTCCTGAACACCAGAGAAGGGTTGGTGCGGTGACTCCCTCTCTTGGTCTGCTCACTGGGGCACTGCAGAGGTGATCACCTGCCTGCCAGATGCTAAGAGCCGCAGCCAGCCAGGTGCCAGGCCTACAGACCGCTTGTACTTAGAATGCTTAGCTGTAAGTTGCTGATAAAAATGTAGCCAGCTTTAAAGCTGAATATTGTGTTTCATTTTTGAGGACAAGTCCCACAGAGTAGCCCAGGCTGGCTTGGAACTCACTGGGCTGTTGACTAGGGTGGCCTAGAGCGTGAAGTAATCCTCCTGCTGCCTTCTCCTAAGTGCTGAGATGACAGGTGTGAGTTACCTGGAGCTCAAGAGATCCACCTGCCTCTGCTTCCAGATCTGAGTCACCTGGAGCTCAAGAGATCAGGAATTCAAGCTTGTCTTCAGCTGTTAACAAGTCTTAAGCCACCACGGACTCAGAAACACAAGAAGGGTGTAGTGGCAAGCAGTCTTGACCCCAACACTCAGGAGGCAGAGGCAAGCAGATCTCTGTGAGTTTACTGACAGCCTGGTCTACATAGGGCATTCCAGGACACCCAGGGCTACATAGTGAGACCCTGTCTTTTTTTTTTATTTTTACTTATTATATATACAATATTCTGTCTGTGTGTAAGCCTGCAGGCCAGAAGGGGCACCAGACTCCATTACAGATGGTTGTGAGCCACCATGTGGTTGCTGGGAATTGAACTCAGGACCTTTGGAAGAGCAGGCAATGCTCTTAACCTCTGAGCCATCTCTCCAGCCCGAGACCCTGTCTTGAAGGGGGTGTACTTGATGTGATAATATATTTATGGACCCAGGTTCAATCCTCTGAACACAAAATGGGAAGCAGATAAGCGTGTAAGCTAGCTGGCCTAGCCACTGAAAGACTGAAGAGATGGCTCAGGACACTCGCTGTACTGGAAGCGGAACTGAGTTCTGCCATCCCCATCCTCTCTGTCTGGGGGAGAAGAGGTACCTGCAGTCTGTCCCCTACCATCACGTAAGCGCTATGGCACCGTTGCATGGCCCACAAACACCAGATACAAAACCCTAACCTGAGCAAACAGGAGCAAATTTGGCAGGAGGTTGGTTGACGCTTTGCAAAGTCTACTGAGGACAGTGGGTATTGTCCACCTGTCCTGTGAAAAGGTCAGAGTTTTGGGGCAGAATGAGCTGTGGAGAATGATGGTCTCACTCTTTAACCCTGGGTATCTTATAACTCTCCATCCTCCTGCCTCAGCTTCCTGAATGTTGGAATCACAGGCATGTTCAGCTCTTCTGGCTTACCTGTTTGTTTGTTTTTCTTTTGATTTTTTTGAGACAGGGTTTTCCGGTAGCTATGGAACCTGTCCTGGAACTCACTCTGTAGACCAGGCTGGCCTCAAACTGACAGAGATCCACCTGCCTCTGCCTCCTGAGTGCTGGGATTAAAGGTGTGTGCCACCATTGCCTGGTAGATGGCTTACCTGTTTCCTAGGGATGAATCTCTGTTATGGCTCCAAACACCCCAAGTTCCAACCTAAGTATTCTGATGCTTGGGTGGTAGCTCTTAGGGCCACGATGGGCTCTTGATATCCTCACCAGCCCTAGTGCAGACTTCACATCCTGTTCTGATCATTTCAGGCATCGGAGGCGGAGGAGAACGAGATGGACACCCCAGACTCGGCCTCGAGGGTCTTCTGTGGACGCTTCCTCAGCATGGTGAACACTGATGACGTCAATGCCATCATCCTGGCCCAGAAGAACATGTGAGCCGGCCATGGCGGTGCGGGAGGCGGGCCTTGGCGGTGCGGGAGGGACCCCACCCCCAGCAAACAGATGTGGTGAATTAAAGAAAATAAGCCAGTTCCATCCTGACCTGAAAAATCAGGCCTTGGTACGGGGCAGGCCCTGCAGCTGTGCATTGCTGGACAGTGGCCAAAGGGCTCCTGTCCCCAGGCCGGAGGAGTGCAAAGAGCTTCTTTTTGTTTTTTTGTTTTTTTTTGTTTGTTTGTTTTCTATTTTCTGAGACAGGGTTTCTCTGTGTAACAGTCCTGTCTTGGAACTTGCTTTGTAGACCAAGGTGGCCTCAAACTCACTGAGATCCGCCTGCCTCTGTCTCCCAAGTGCTGGGGTTAAAGGCGTGTGCTACCAACAACCGGCGCAGGACCTAGAGCCCAGTCTCTTGCGCAAAGTCCCTCACTGGGACAAGCTCACCCTGATTGCAACTGGGCTTGGGGTGAAAGGAAGGTATGGGACTGAGTGTGACTTGGCAGTTCAGTCTGCCAAGCATGCGGAGGCCTCAGGTTCATAGTGGACAGCCCTCCCAGCGGAGGCCAGAGGCTGTTGGCTAC